TGTCTTTAGTTTCCAATACTGATACAAATTTATAAAAACCAAGTATTCATAACGTCGAGTCGTAGATACAATACAATAACTAATATATTTCTCGTTTTAAACTGTTATAAATGTTTTATTTAAATGTATATCAAATTAATGAATGGTAACTCCAAAATGCATTGTCAGTCTTAAGTAAGTGTACCAATAAACACAAGGCCTCGATTTTCACTAAATAAGAAATTAAAAGAAGATTATAAACCAGTCATTTCAGAGACCACGTAAGCTGTCGGTCCTGGTTTGCGTCTAAATTGTTGGCTTTAGTTATTTAAGCCAAGGCGCACTGCTCGTCCTCAGGACGGTCTTAAGTTATAAAACACTTGGGACCCCAAATTAAAATTTTAGATTTAAAAAAAACAGCATACCCGTAAACGCGAGGAGGCCGTTAATAAATTCTGCAAAGACCCAGTTTCACCAAATACCAACTACGATAGAATAGATGGCGCTAGCGTTGCACTATTTTAGTAATAATAATTGTTAAAATGTTTCTTTCGCGCTTTGTTTCGCGTTTTAAACCGTTAAAAGTGATTTATTTAAATCGTAATTGCTTGCGTAAACTACAGTATTTAGAAAGAAGTGAGTTGGATATTTTCGTTATTATGTTACCATACAAGCAAGGTAACACCCATGTACCATAGAAACTAGAGCGCTACCGACCTGGCTCTAGACGTTTTGAAATCCACAGATTGTAACCCAAAAAGGAACTGACGGCTCATCCTAAGGTAGATAGACAGTATAAAACTATCGCACTAATAACGAATCTATGACAATCCACGCGTCGTCGTCGGGAACAAATTGCCTCATCTGTCATTCGTAACCGAGTGATTGATAACCCAAAACCCCAACGCGCTATCAAAGCGGGGACATTCGGCGATTCATCAAATACTTTTGGAGAATCGGCATTTCATTTTTTTAACTCAATTCACCGACCCGTTCGAGCGATCCAATAAAAAAATAAATCGGCCTGGTATGATGGACTTTTGCACCACGTGTTCCGTAGTATAGATATAAATATTATTTAGTCACGTAATATCAGGACATGGCACAATCAAATATTGTTAGAATTTAAGGACAAACAGGGGCTTTTCTGCTTAATAGTTGTCTCTTCCAAGCAAACGCGATGAAATAATACAGATATAAAAAGTTACTCGTGACATTACAACAGAAAAGGAAAATTTTCATTTATTATACTGATAATAATAATAGTTTAACTGAGATACAATATAAAAATACAGCTTTAAAAACAATTACAAGTGCTTACGTGTAACTATTGATATAGGTATGGCAAAAAGAGTGTATAGGAGCTCCTCTTGAGTATTAATTTTATATTGTTGTACGTTGCCATAGTAACAGAAATAAATAATGTCAACTCTCTAGCTATCGCGGTTCTTTAAAAAACAGCCTAGTGACATACAGTGAAGTCTCAGTGATATAGTACCTGATTTACCCTTTCGACGCGAAACCCTAAAAAACTTTCCGTATCCTTTCGGCTGGCCTCTCACGAAATTCTTTATTTGAATTTTTCTTTCGAGATTTGAATATTCATAACTCCGTTTTAATTAAGTTTTCTATTTGCGTTGATGAAATTTCGTTATGCGACGCTTATCAAATTTTCGGGTAAGATAGGCCGATGTTTACTTTCAGATATGCTTGTACTTAACCAGAGAGTTGAAAGGACTTTAAGAGCCTTATTCATTCATAGTACAAGAAAACCACTCGCCGAATTCAGATGTTAACTGTTTTAAATACTTTTTATATAAATAAAATGAAAGAAATTAAATGTATGTATTATCTATACTAATATTTTGAAACTGAAGAGTTGGTATGTTTGTTTGAACGGGCTTACCTGAACAATTAATGGTTACAATTGCAAAATTATTTGTGTTAAATAGACCATAAATTGAGAAAGGGTTTTACATTACGCCACGACCAATAAGAGCAAAGAAACAGAAGGAAATCCGAAGAAATCGAGATTTTTTTATCTTTGCAAGCAGCCATTGCATGCGGTGCGATAACGGTTGGAATATGTAAAAAAGGGTTCTTCTTTAAATTTAAAAAAAAATACCCGGGACAGCATATGTATAATTTTTAAGATTAATTTATAAGAACGACGGGACGCGGACGACATCGTGGGCAACAGCTTTAATTACTATACTACGCGGCATAGTCGCGTGTCGTCATCATATATATTCCTAACTCACATCATTCTTCATTTTCTTCATCACTTTGTTGTCATGACTTTAAAAAGCTTTAAGCTTAGCACCAAGGTCCTTGGTACAAGCTGTCAGTACAAAATATATGTCACGACAATGGTAGTGATGACAGCTCGGCACTGACGATACAAGGTGCTCTATGAGGCACTGGGCCGAATACAATTACTACTTTCAAACAAGGATACTTTAAAACCAAAAAAAACTAAAATCCAGTATCCAGTACATCGTATACTGCGCTAGAGTGCACTGACTACCAGACCGACGAGGAAGCTTACAAAACTAACTCTATTAAAATACTCACAATGCTGTCAGTAGCATGAATGAAAGACTTAAGTTATTGTTAAAGCTTCAAATAGCCTTTTGTGGCCGCTGAATTGTGAACCATCTCAATGGGACTTTCGGAGTACAATACATAGATCTTCGAAATTCACCTTAGGTAACGTTTAGAATGAAATTCCGTTTTATTGCTTTTTATTTACTGTAATCTATAGTTACGATCCCTCTTTAGCAGCCAATATTTACTAATATTACTGACCACCTTCGCAGCTTAAATTGGTGGAAAGATAGGTCCTAGGTTTGAAGCCCGGATGTATGTTCAGTTGATACTTGCCTGCCTCCAATCATTTTCGATCGCTCGAAGCCCTAAGAAAAAAACAATGACGAGAGGATTTCACTTAAAATGTTTCTATGCACATTTTTCTTATAAATGTCTGTTGTATTTTGTTTGTTTATTAATTAGGACGGCTACAGATCAATAATGCATATAAACATAAAGAATATTTAAAGTACAAGCAAACGTTACACGAAACAAAGATTACGAAGAAGTATGATGATGAACAAAAGACAAATGTTTTCAAAATTATTAAAAATCGAACAATAAAAAATTGAAAAAACATTTAGACTAAAAAAAAAAAAAAAAAAAAATATCTCTTATACCCTAGTTTTTCGGTAAACTTTGATAAAAACTTTTGCTTCTTCCCTCATTCGAACCCCAAACGTTATGCTTGCTGGCGCGCTTATGACGGGCAATCACGATCAGGACTTTTGTCATAATAATATGGAGGAGACGAAATGTCTTGAATCGGCAACCACACGCGTGCGACTCGAATCACAACCATGTGCTGTTGCTCGTAACTCAATTGAACAATTGAGCTACCCCCATCTTGTTCAAATTACTTAATCTTGAAAGGAATCAGACAAATCGAATCAATGGCGGAAAAAAAATGGAAGCGGCGGGGTTCCGGGCTTTTTTTCTAACCAAGTGAGCAAGTGAGTCACATACGATATAAAGATTTTTATTTGCAAAACTAATTTTCTTCATTTGTATATATAAATTTAAGTCGTTATACGTCTAATTCCTCAATAAAATATTAATTTCGTAACACAATTTTCACGGAAGACGTGAAACATAATTTAGCAAATTGAAAGTGAGATTATAAAAATGTAATTTAACCAACTGGGTACAGAGACGCCTTGTAAATTAATTTGTCATTTGAATATACTAATGAAATTGTTGGTTAGGTTTTTATTTATACCTGTGTTGTAGACAAGTATTAACTACAGAAAGGTTTTCATGTGAAACCCTGACTTTTTTATATCAACAACAGGTTACTGTCTAAAATATACAGTAGTACACATCTAAAAAAAACACTTTAACGGTTTAGCGCGATATTATTAATTAAAAAAACTAGTTTAAATAAATTTTTTATAAATCAACATGTTACTTAAAATATAAGTATATAGATAAATTTTAAAGAGAAAATATATTTTCCAAACAAAATATTCTATAACACAATATTAAATATAAAAAGGAAATGGAGAAGTATGAATTAAATACTTCTCCATTTTTTATTTGATAAAAATAATTACGACACGGACGTGTCTTTTACCGCCATCCAGCGCTTTCCATAATTTCATCGTAAATTATTTTTAAAACTGCAAATCAGCGGACATTAAACCTCAGCACGTAAAAGATAAGGTGAACATTGTATTGTGCGATAGGTACATGTATCAATGTGTTGTAAGAATTTTAATTAAGACAAGTAAGACACGGTAGCTCAATTGGTTACAAGACGGATCTCTGGGGAGGGGGCAACCAACTTTAATCAAACACCGGACCCCCCCGGGGGGGGAGGGGGGGGGAAAAAAAAAAAGGGGGGGGGGGGCCCCCGGGGGGGGGGGGGGGAAAAAAAAGAAAAAAAGAAGGGGTTTTTTTTTTTAACCCCCGGGTTTTTTTTTTTGGGGGGGGGGGGGCCCCCTCTTGGGGGGGGGGGGGGGGGGAGGGCCCCCCCCCCCCCCCAAAAAAATTTTTCCAAAAAGGGTGGGGGAGGCAGTTGGAAAAAAAAAAAAACAAAAATTTAAAAGGGGGGACGGTCCCAAATTATCAAACACTTGGGATCCGATATTAAAAAGTCTGAATCCCAATAAACAGCATACCGGCAAACGCGAAGACACCGTTAGTCAATTCTGTAAGGACCCGGCCAGTTTCGCCAAATACCACCTTCGACGAAACAGATGGCGCTAGCGTAGCAATTTTTTAATTTGACGTCAGACACATCCTCCATCTTTAGTCTCCCCGTGACCACGGGTGCTGCAAAGCTTCCGAACACGTCGGGCCGAAGTTAAAAATCATTTTCAAATAAGTTTAACTAATATATCGCGTTTTAAACCGTTAAAGTGTTTTATTTATATTTAACTTTTGAAGTATTCAATTTGCTACAGTGTATAAATATATAGAGATATATTTACCTTGGCATGAAAAGTGATCCCATACTCGAACGCTTCATCTGGATGCAAAGAAATCTTGGTGTCATACTCGTCGTTGGTGACCAGGTCGTACTGCTTAGTGGACGGCATCTTCCTGCTCCACTTGAACAACTTCATGGGCACTCGCTTCCACGAGCCCACCTTTAGGATCACTCGTATGTACCGTGACTTTCCCCGCTTAAACATCGAGGCACATTCTACGTACTGCTTCAGAGAAATGGCTGGCGCTGCGGGCGACCTGTGACAGAAAAACAGTCAACACTAATTATTCTCTTCAGATTATCCGAGTGGTACATTCAGTAAAACGCTACTGACCGTTTGAAACGCGAAATATATTAGAAAATTTCATTTAACTACCTTCGAAGCCGTATTCCATAAGAATAGTTTTTATTGTTTCGCGACCTATTCTTTGAAAAATCGTTATTTTTTGAAAATTTCACTGGTAAGTATTGACATACCGCTTACGTAAATTAACAAACATATTTCACGTTTAAAACCGTTAACAGCGTCCAATCAAGTCATGAAAATGGCGAAATGTTATGAAAGAAATTATTATGACTGTCTTTTAGCGTCTATTTATTATAATATTATGTATGTTAAAGCTCTATAAATAATATCTCAGTTCATTTCTCTATATATACGAGATACCCCTTTTAGATTATATAGACCTTTTAAAAGTTCCCAAAGCTATTAGCTATAAGCCTATCAGGGTTTCGACACGCAAAAAGGTCGAATAGAAAGGACAGTTCTTCAAATTTTAATAACAACAAAAAAACGGATTATTAGTTTTGTTAAGGTGTCAAAAATAGATATTATTACTGAAAATAGTATGCGATATATTTTCATATTTTATTTCTACCCTCTTATCCGTATGGCCTGTTAGAATTGACGCGTATGCACTGCGTGTGTATTATAAAATAAATAAAAATGAAAAGGAATAAAGAAATTAGTAAGTAGTAGTAACACAGAGGAACACGAACCGACGACCAAGAGAGTATTGTGTATATTTAAATGCTTCTTTGATGTAATTATAATGTATTCTCGTTTATATTCGTTTCGTGAATATATTCGTTTTCAGCAATATTTACACTCTTGGATAACCAAAAGTATTATTTAAGATATTTTTTATCGTCAATTTTTATAATTGAAATTTGAAGTTGTAACTTGAAATTACAGTAAAATCTATTTCTTTCCTTAAAACTCTAGCATCTACAGTCATGCCTGACATTTCGTAGAAAATGAACTTATCGACAGTTAACTAAGTGTTTAATTTTAAGGAGATTGCTTCGAGTTCAATATAGCCGAGACAGTATCGACGAGCGAACTGAATGAAGCCAATAGGGCTGGCCAAAATGTAGTTAAATATATTCGATAAAAGAGAAAATAACTATTTAAATAAAACACTTTTAAAGGCTATATACTATATGTTAACTTATTTTTTTTACTAGGGCTCGCGTATTTAACTCTGATCACGATGAGGTTATAAATAAGATCATTAATGTATTACGCAACATATAATGTACGTATATACGCTGACATCTAGGAATGACAGATAGGAAACTAGTCGGTTAATATATCTTTCTTGAGAGTAGAGAAAAATAGATAAAGTGTTTAAATTAACTGTAATGGTAAGTAACAACTCGTCACGATCATGGGATCAAATCCCACCCAGTAGCGTAGCTATTGTAGAGCCAGGTGGTGCAATGCACTAATCCCCCGGAACGTGGGGGCCCTCTATCTCATCTTCGAAAATATATAAGCGTAAAAGAAAAGGATTATTTTAACATATTTAAATAAACTGGCTTTGTTGCCTTTTTGCAATTTTGGTTAATTCAATTCAAGCTAGGCTGAAAGAGGGGATGAGGGCCGGATTCTTTCTTAGGCCCTAAGACTAGGTAGACCGGGGCCTTTGTCCTTGAGGTACGCCACTGATCCCACCAATCTAAAGTAACAGTAATATTTCTTAATGTTTGACAACCCTTCCCTATTAATTAATTGAGAAGTTACGCGTAGCTTCTTAATCTTGGTTTGCGAACATTAATTACTTTCCGTTACGTTCGAACCGTAACCGTAAAACAACAAACAATTTGTAGAGTTCTTTTGTTTTACTTTTATGGTTCCGTATCCAAACAGGGTAAAACGGTTCTTCGCTATATGTTTGGGAACGTTGAAATTTTTTATATATATCTATATCTATATTCTGTATATCAAACGTTTTTAAATACTTGCTTAATATTAATTTACTTGTCATTACTATTAAGGAACCCTCTTATGAGAGAGTCCGATCCGCGCTTGTCTGATTTTATTTTATGTTTCGCATTTTTAGACATTATCCCCTAAAATGGGGATGTTAGGAGTATCACATGTATTAATCTATCAATAGCTTAGAAGCTCAATGGTAAATATTGGCTTCAGGTCATATAATAACTATGTTTTATAATAATTCTTGTTTGTATTTACAATATAGCATGTATAAATATTCCACTGTTTTGTTTTTGAATAGCTTAGATAAGGTTATCTAAGCTATTCAAAATAGGTATAGGTAGGTACCTAGTCTAAGATTTAAGCGAATGGCAGATATCCTTAAACTTATTTATATACAGTTATATTGATTTTTAACTATGAGCCGACGCTTCGCATGCTCCACAGCAACTGGTCCTCTCGTAATAGCCTTTAAAAAGATTAACTTCGATTATAGTAGCTTAAATTGTTATAAAGGGTTCCTCAAGCAACGAGATAACCTTATAAGCGCTAAAACAGAGCTATAGGTACAAATAATTATTTTGTTTAAGACATTTAACTACTTAAGACAGTTAAATATCACCAAACATTTGGTTCACTCGATGAAAGTGAAACAAACCGATACGCGTTTCGTTTTCAGGTTCGTGGTTCGTGCTCGGATCAATATGCAGAAGAATTTTGATTTGGAAAAATCTTTTGACCTTTTGAGATTTGAACCCACTATCTGTTTATTATTAGCTCCACATAATGACTTTATTACAGTTGAGGTACATGTAGAGGTTACATGTGTAATTACTGTAACCTCTATGTATAGCTGAATAGACCAACTTAAAATTTAACTCAAAATAAATTAAGTTACAACGTCAAATAATGCAAACAAAGTTATTTTGCATTTATTATCTAATAACAAGTTGAAGGGCGTACGAATAGTTCATAACGAACTTAATTTTGGCCCGACGTCCCCTGTCTTAGTGCTCTGAGGTCAACGAACTTTATCATTTCTCTAGATAAACTCTCACGTATGCTATTAAGCGTATACTTATGCCACTTGTGAAGACACATGAAGCATTGGACAGACACAGTTCCGTGTCTGTTATAATAATTTATTAACAAGTAAATCAAAGTAAAAAATGTTTTCACGGTATTTGAGCTCAATAGACTTTGCGGAATGTTAAGCCGTGTTTAACACTGCTACAAAACAGCATCTTATACGACGTTAATACTTATATTTGTATTATAATAATAAACAAGTTACTGGCGCAAAATAAAAAATGTATTTTTTTATATGACACTAGCGGGATTCAAACCCACGACGTTTCGCGCTGTACCACTTGGTAATGTTGTCCGTCCGTAAATAAATAATTGTTTCAATCTAATTATACCTGCACCTCTCGTGCTCGTTAACCAATTTTACCGAGAACAATTGATAATGATTAAAAACGGCAGTAAATTTTTTGTCCAAAAACAAACACCAGTTTACACACACAGGTTACAGTTTTACCACACACGCGTAGTCTGGCCGAATCTATACTAATATTATATAAACTGAAGAGTTTGTTAAATACTGTCTAGAGTTTACGCGAGTAGTACACATTTAAATAAAACACTTTAACGGTTAAAAACGCGATATATTAGTTAAACTTATTTGAAAATGATTTTTAACTTCGGCCCGACGTTCGTTTAACTAATATATCGCGTTTTAAACCGTTAAAGTGTTTTATTTAAATGAAGAGTTTATTTGAATGTGCTGTGAAATATAGATATATACTATCTCGGCTATACTATAAAATATTTTTCCGTTTTTTTCACATTTCCCTCTGTTTCGTCGCCCCTATCCATAAATCTCGATTTTTTTTTTGAGAGGAGGAGGCTTTAAGTTATAAAAATCGGGCTGCGACCAATAGGGGCGACGAAACAGGAAATGTGGAAAAAACGGGAAAATATTTTATATTATAGCCGAGATAGTATAATACCAAAATTAAAAATAAACGTGCAAGCGCGACAGGATGCGGACGCCGTCGTAGGCAAAGAGGCGGAGGTGTGCGAAAAAAAATCGATGGCCAAAATAACCATTCTATGCGGCCGAAGTCACCGACATAGCTAGTCTTTTTAATCATAGAGGAGGGCAGACATGGCTTGATGATAGGTGATATACCCCGAGCCTATATCATCTAAACTAAATTCGCTGTCGACCTACATTGGCTTCGGATATCCGGAAATCCACAGACTGAAACCAAAACGCGATTAAGCTTCACGGCTTCATCTGTGGACGGTGGTTCGTAACCCGGACAGAATTTCTATATTCCTACCACCAGACGAAGTCCAATTTCAGAAAAAATATAAATGGAAAAATTTTAAACATATCGGACCCATTGATCATCGCTGCCATTAGACCAACGGCCTCGTCAAAAGTCTTACATAATAAAGAAAAGACGGTAAAACAAGTTGTCTATGAAACTCGTAATAGTCAAGTTGAAGGTTGGCCGAGACCGGAAATTCGACAGTGACCCATGAATACATAATGCCAATGAATATATTATGTCTGTGAAGTAACAAGCACGTTTTTGGAAGTTACGTTGCTATACGCTACATTTGAGGCATATTTATATTCAATTGTGAACGTCTGTTTAAGTGTATAGGGATATATAAAGATGAAGAGGTTTTTTGTATGTTTGAACGTGCTAATCTCAGGAACTACGGGTTCAAATTGAAAAATTATTTTTGTGTTAGTTAGAGCATTTATCGAGAAAGGCTAAAGACTATAAAACATCGCCCTGTGACTAATACAAGCGAAGATCTAGAAATGTAAAAAAACATGGAAAATTATATATCATTAAGGCTCCACCTTCCGCTGCAAAAACGGTTAAGAACCCAAAAAAATGAAAGAATTCCTCTTTAAATTACCTAAAAAAGTTTGCAACGCCAAGTCTATTTAAGAACTTGCAAGTGGGAAGGGACGCGACCGACGTCGTGGGCAACATCTATAGGAGGTTTGCAAAAATAAATAACATAGTGCCCAAAATAATTATTCCACACGGACGAAGTCGCAGACACAGCTAGTTTATTATGACACTCATGAGAAAGTACAAATACAAATTACACACATATACAAAAGGCATAGTAATATGTCCGAATTGTGTTTGTTCAACGATAAAGCATCCCTTGCAATATAGCGTAGGACATAATTCGTTAACATTAATTTCTTAACACGTGATATTGACGGGTCGAAACGACCTCAAGCGTTGACTGCAAGTTTAAATTGGTTTTAGCTTGTGATCTGTTTCAAGAGTCGAGCCAACTACTCGATCCGTACGCTCACAGCAATTTTTGTTTAAATCATTCAACAACTAATGAAAACTTGCGAGCGCCGCACTATACTTTGTCTAATATAGGATGATAAGTTAGACAGTTTACGTCACTATGAGTAACTAATATAAATCGTAAGTAAAATGCAGTTTCTCTGATAGGGTGTGCTATAGACTATGTAAAATTAATAAAGTAAATTCTAATGAGCTCGTTGGGGTAGTGGTATGACTAATGATCAATGAGTCGTGGGTTCAAAATTGTATAATCAATTTATCCGTCCGGCTCACGGACTACCGTCAACAAATCGAAAAGCAGTAAAGTTTTCGGTTTCCAAATATCCAAAGCAAAATAGGATGACAGTGCATCTGGTTTAGATGTTATGTGGCTGGGGCATTTCACAAACAAACTCTTCAACTTTTTATATAAGTATAGATATATAAGTGTAGATTCTTCATTCATGTACACTGTACCCCATCCACTGTAAACTGTCGAATTCCATCCTATATTAGACAAGGTATAACTTCGCCCCAAATTGTACTCGCTGTAGAAACGATTTGGTGTATATTTGAAGATGCACAGTGTCAGCAAATAACTAAGTATTTCGCGTATTCTGTACTTCTAAGAACGACTTGCTAACTCCTAGCTTTTCTGAGGATTTACCCTTTTCAAGGAACGTGATTGTTTAACGTTTATTGAATTGTAATTTAATTAAATAACTCCCCCTTTTAATTAAGACGCTTTGGCGTCTGATGTTCGAGCAGTAGTGTTTTAGATAAAAACAAAAATGTTTTACGGGTGCTTTACAAGTAAAATACACGACACTACAAATTATAAAACTGTTTGTTTGCTTGAACTCGATTAGCTACTACTAGTTTGAATTGAAAATTTGTTTTGGGTAGATCAATTCACGAACATCAGGCAGAGTCCAATAGGAGCGAAGAAGCAGAAGGATAATTGGGGAAAACGAAGAAAATTTTTAATCTTGGAGGGTTTCCATTGCGTTCGCAACGACTGAACAACGAAGAATCTTAAAACGATCTAAAAAAATATCCCAGACAGTATTTGTCTATCTTTTGAGATTAAATTGCAAGAACGACGGGACGCGGATGACATCGTGGGTTAGTAATTTATATCGTTTGAAAACTTTATTATTTTTTACATGTTATTGCACATGCAGGCACTATATAATTAAAAAATCGAAAATAAATTAATATGTTAAATAAAAATGTTTGACTCGGGCAGGACTTGAACCTGCATCGTCAGCGTTCCGTGCTGTTGCTCTACCAATTGACTCGGTAGCTAAATTCGATCGATAAATCGATATTTAAATATTAATATATATAACAAAACAGCGTTTGCCGGGTCAGTGTATAATAAATAAATAACTAAAGGCTACCAAATTAGACGGTACTGTCGCAGTCAGATCGAATGTTAAAAGGGATAACATACTCTTTCTAACGATCGAATGAAACCCTACTAAAAAAACACTTTAAACGGTTTAAAACGTTAAATGCTTGTTTTAGTTGAAATATACTGTAAATAAGTTTATAAGGTTGAGAGTTAATCAAACAACATCTCTAGACAAGATACTATTTATTAATGTATTATAAAATATTATATAACACATCTGCATCCATAGATACATTATTATACTACAAGTTAACTAATCTTTTTCGCATTTTAAACCGTTAAAAGTGTTTTATTCAAATGTGTATTACTAACGTAGATATTATACATACTTAGCAATAGCTTTATTTGTGTTTTAATTTGAATATTATGCCCT